TAAACATGTATTGTTTTTTTTTTGTTTTTTTGTAAATAAATTATAATTTATAATAGATAGATAAATCAAATATGACAAAAGTATTCTAGGTATTCAAAATACAGGTACTACTTTTTCCAAAGTAACAAAATACTAGTATACTTGTATTCTGTATTATGGAAAAAAATACATGTTCAAAGTATTCTACCCAACACTTATGAATTAATGTTAAACTTATGAGAAAGCTAATAATTAATCATCCACTCTTGGCTTCACACAAGTAATATCTGTGTAGATAGATGTTACATCTAAAGGGGCAATATCTGTGTAGAAGGACAGTGAGTGCCAGGTCAAACAGATTGTGATCATTTGAGAAAGCAGAAAGGACAGCCTTGAGTTACACACATCAAACAATGACTTCATTTGTTCAGTTTCTGAAGGAGATATGTGTTTGTTTACTGCATACTATTTAATGTCCAGTGATTTCTCCTCAGGGCAGACGGCCCGGCTGGTCAGGCTGATGCTTTGTTGACCTGGTATTTGTGCACAGTTAACAAATTAATAAAACCACTGATTGTATTACGGCTCTGGGTTGGTATTTCTTTTGGTTGTTTATACTGTTTACTCTTTATACAGCAGCATTTAAAGCAGAAGTGTCAAACTGCTTACGGAAAAGGGCCGGTGTGGAAGCAGGATTTCATTCCAACCAAGCAGGAGCACATCACACTCACACACTGATGACCGTACACACGTCTGATGACTGTACACATTTCTGATGCAAAATGATCCTTGTTAAATAAATCAAGGTAAAAATTTGATCACTTTGGCTAGCAGAATTCTGATCATGGACTTGTGCTATACCCTAAAACAGTTTTATGTAAAAGGAGATTGTGCCACACACACACATTTCCACTCAAATAAAGAGAACAAGGTTGCAAGCCTAAAACGCCACTTCCAGAATGGTCAAAGGAGTCCCGGACAAACAGACTTAAGCATTCATCTTACTGTCCTATCTGGTCGTTCCCAGTGACCTGCACTTTCTAGATGACAAATAGACCTGTGTGAGACCTTTCTGCCCTATAGTAAAGTTAAAATCTAACAAAGACATTATCAATTATAGTAAAAATGTCTCTATAAAGTGTGGACAAACCCATTACCAACACAGCCGTTCAAAATCTCAGGATATCGAAGCTCATATCCGCACTGCTCGCTCTGACTTGAGTGTGAGTGTGGCTAACTATCAGCCGGCTCTCGCTCTCTGCTCATTAGCCCGGGATGCTTCCTCTCAGACGCTTTCACTCCTCACATCTTTGCACAGACTCCGGGCCGCAGCGGGGCCGATGCCTGGGATAAATAAGGGATAATCAAGGAAGCTCCCTCGCTGTGAGCTGACCTGGATATGGGGCTCTTGGTGTCATATGGGGCCCCTCCCTGTGCATATACCGCTCACTGTGTAATGAATGGAACAAGCTCTGGAGGAGCGATAGAGGGACAAATGCAATACAATTACTCTGGTGGGCTCGGAAGAAAACATAGGAAGAGCTGTTGTGTTTCATTTGTTTGATGTGTAATTTAAACAGATGGAGGAGAAACAACACTGGCTGGACTTACAGACGCCTGTGAAAAAATATTATTGTGAACTTAGAAGTATAGGAAAAGTCAACTGCATATCTATACACTTTCTTGCTTAAATATTGTTTCTCTTGTACTGGGTTGGCTTAATTTCAAGCGGTGGAGTGGTTGTCTACCCCCACCATCCAGCTGATGCAATAGTCTTCTATCGAAAGTAAATATTTTAGAGCCTTATTTGGGTGGTCTCATCACAAAGCAAGTAATGAGAAAATCTTGTTACATGCTGCAGGAAAAAAAAGAGCAAGTAAAAGTGACAAGAAAAAACCAAGCATTGAAGAAATACAATTAGGCCATGTCATAGAGGGACAAAGCGATATGAAAAACGTACTGCATACAGACAAAACTAGGCAATAGGATATGTAGACAAGTCTGGGGGCGGTGCTGTGAGGAACGTACAAGCGGTGAACATCAAATCACAGGAAGACAAAGAAATCCACAGAGAACCCCCTTCCTCCCAGCGCTAACACTGACCGCGTATGCTCTCCAAAACAGCAGTTGAAGAGAGGAGACTTTTTTTCTTTCATAAAAGTCAATTTACTGCTTCAATTTAACTTATATGGCAGACTCAGCAGACTCGAGCCCACCGCGAGACCTTCTGTGTCCTTGGGCAATGCACTTAACCCACTTTGCCTATAAGGAGCGCTGCATGCCTTGATGAGTGTGCGTGTATTCATCAAACTAAAATATCCCCACTGTGGGACGATTAAAGGACCTTCTTCTTCTTATGTAATGAGTCTATGTCATGTATTGGTTTCATGTTCGAATGAATCAATGCATTTATTTATTAATTTGATAAGGGACAATGCACAATAAACATTAGTCTCATAAAAATAATCAATGCCTTGTGCTAGGTTTTGGCAAAAAGGCTAGTTTCTAGCTATTGTTCCTTGACAAGTTGATGGAGTTAAGTAGAATTACAGAAATAAATGAACTTTTGAACCATATTCTAATTCTCAGAGTTTCACCTGTATTATATATTCCTTCATGACACCTGTGGCAGGGGACGAGTGATAATTGTTCATCTTGAAGGCACAGGTTACGATATGAGTGCTGAGCTGCCATAACATATATAACGAGAGGATTGAGTGTACGAACGGAGGCGCCTGTCAAAAAGACTTTTGCTGGAAAAGCTTGAGATTAGCTTCATGTGACAGTCTGCAGGCAGTCTGTGGGTTGGAACAAATCCATGTACCTAAGAAGACATACGGTTTGTTGATAGATATGCCGTATTAAGGTGGATGTAAATGTACTCAGCCAAAGTATTAATTAAATGCATACTTTTGGACAGAGCAATTTCACCAAGACTTTTGTGTCCACTGCAATCCTAATTGTCAATTCATACGGACTCTCCAATTAATGCAAGATTTTCTTGCAGAGTGAATTGTATTAAGACTGCCCTCCTCAGAACAACTGCTAGGATCTCAAATCAGAGGTAATAAAATTGTTGGATTGTTTTGGGAAAGTTTGGTGTCTCCCGAGGAGAACAATTGAGGTTGCCTGTGACGAGTAGCCAATCAGACAGCAAGGTGACAAAGCAGCGAGGAACACCGGGAAGCATGGAGGTGAATCCAAAATCCAACACTCCAAAATATCACCTCCATGCCCTCCATATCATAATGTAACAAGAACAGCCCATGCTCGCTTTTTCCACTCCTTTGAACATCACATTATATTTTCATCACGCTTTTTAAAACATTTTTTACTAACGCTACTGCCTTGCCTTTGACCGCCATGTCTAGTTTTTTGACCGCCATGTCTCGAGAGTTTTGGAGAAATTTTCTGTCTGTCTTGGCAATGTTTGAGAGTGAAATTAGTTTGTGTGTATCATGTTTTGGGCTTTACTCTTCCAATTGAATATCATTCCTTTGTTATGTGCAATACTCAGAAGCTCTTTGTCACATAGCTTTGTTCGCCCCACTGCAAAGTCGTAATATTTTAAGCAGAACTTTGGTGGGAGTCGGCCTTGGTCAGGGTGCATCCATCATGGGCGACCTTGGGAGTGCGCCCCGTGGCCGTCCCAGGGCACACAGCACTGACTAATGCCGCTGCCCTGATGTCACCGCTTGTATTATCCCGGCTCAAAGATTGCTATCGGCAACCGGGCTTTAATTATTCACACTCTCATGGCTCGATCTGGACTCTGCCATGATCTAATCGGCTATGACACTATCTCGTACTTCTTTCTTATAGGGCAGATTAAAATAGACAACTCCAAGCCTCAGCGGAAGTCAACTACATAAAGCATGTCAAAACCGAGGAAGTAGAACGATTAGAACCTAGTTTTGAGTAATTTGTGTCAAGAAATTTACATAGTACGCATATCTATGTTAAGAAGTGAACAATAGTGTAGGCAAATGGGTATGACTGGGCACATCAACGAAAGTTATGTAGTTTCTGTTTGAGTATTATATTAAATGTAAAGACTTCTCTCGTTTCAATAAAGCAGACATTTTTTTTGTTCATAAAAATGTATACACTTGAGAAAATATGTGAATAGATATGTCTATATGTAAATGTTTGGACAACTTTTGTCCAAATTGTCTTCATCTGTCTTCATCCCCTTATTCTGCTGCAAACTAGATGACAGAAAATTGTGCTGGATTCACTTGAGTTCAAACATAATTAACTATAATAATGTCTTAGTATACTGTACATGTATAGTATGTAGTTTTAGCACACACACGCATGCACACCAAGCCCCAGTGATCCAAGATGGACCCTATTCAAATGAATGGCTTCTGCTCAGTAGCGCATGGGACTTCACGGGCGCTGACAAATCAGAGGAACTGCTATATTTGGGCATCGTCTGGTCCTCCCGGTTCTGCGCAGTGGATTATCTCCCATGATGCGTTGTGCCAATTACGCGTGTGTGGCTCTCATGCACGTGCACAGAGGGGCTGTGTACGTGCATGAGAGCAGTGGTAGAGCGGAGTCAGAGCGGGAAGGAAACGAGCAGAGTTTGTGGCAGTGAAGTTTGGATTTAAAGAAAACTGAAGGATTTATGAAGAAAAAAAGTTCAGGATGACAAGGGACACAAAAATCCACACAAAATCCGATCTTTATGAAAGCTGTAGATTTTCTGTCAGCTGAGGTCGAGCTGTTTAGTTTACATTGAGTTCTATGGGAATTTTTTCTCAGTAGCCCACGGGATTTAGTCTGCAGTACCACGGGCTAGTAATATCCTATCCAGGTATTATTATAGATCCATGATGCACACTCATGCGCACACACACACACACCTGCGTTTATGTTGGGGCTCAGCCAGCTGGAATTCACCAAAATAACTGACAATGTTGTGTCTGGAGATAAAATATGGCCCATTCAGTCCCTTTGAAAATCTTCCTACTGTATGTGCTACTGCTGCAGCTGTTATAGATCTTATGTTTTTCATGACAGGAACAGGACAGAGCAGCAGCGAAGGCTCAGTGTTGGCCTTAGCGTGGGGAGAGCAAGGGGGGTGGGTTAAGATTGACAGCCCAGGGCACGGAGCTGTCAGCTGGGCCCAAGGTGTGGAGGTGTGGAGGCTTCGGCCGATAAGCATCAGAGCGAATATGAGAAGCCAGATAGTCATCGCTCACAGGAAGCAGAGCGATACCATTGCAGAAGAAACCACAGGAGAGAGGCTGACCTTGTGTCTGTGGCTCTGTGCAGCAGCAGTGCAGAGATGGCACCGCTGCTTACGGCAGCGCTGATGAAGCCAACTTTTAGAAACTCAATAACATGTAATTTCATGTTGGATTTTTGTTTCTTACTAAGCTACTTCTCATGTATAAGTGGACTGAAAATAACCATTTATTTGCAAAGTTTCTTTGTACAGTGAGATTATAATTACATTTTACTACTCTAAATTTAGGAAAAAGTGTGTGTGTGTGTGTGTGTGCGTGTGCCTGCGTGTGTGTGTGTATGTGCGTACCTGCTTGCATGTGTGCATGCCTGTGTGTGTTTGTGTGTGTGTGTATATTAAAATACAACAATCCACATATAGAACAATGAAATACTTAAATCAATGTGTTTTTACATTTTGTTTGTTCTATCAGTGTATGTATTTGTATTACAAAAAAGCCAAAACAAATACTGCACTAAATTTGTACCATAACAATTCTAAAGCTGGCATAACATTCTGCAATGGTATTGAGCTGAACAGAATATCTTATACATTTTTGACAGCAACATTTTCAGTGTTTGTTCACACAACATCATACGTTTGCTGAATTTTTACTTTTATTATATGATAAAGTCAAATAATCAACAAATGGATAACATGAATGACTCTGTCCAGAGAGTTTCAAGGATTAAAAAAAATCCCAATTGACAGGGAAATAAAAACATTTTGTCATTACAAGTAAACATTGTTAATAAAAAAAATTGATTCTGTTCTTAGGAGGATTATATCAGATTCAGATTCAGATTCATTTTATTTGCCATTTGCAGTAAAAAAAACACATTGGAATACATTATCAAAAAGTCTCCAGTGTGCACAGACAAATACAGACATAAAACAACATTAATGTGACTGTGATGATTATGATATTACCATGATCATTGTGAGCAGACCTTATACAGGTACATTTATGCGTGCTTAATAAGATTATTCTTTACAACCTTAACTAATAAATAGTTTTAATACATAGCAATGTTTTTGGTCCCTTAAAGATGCCTCACATGGTGTTATTCATTCACTCCATACAGGTTGGTGACAAACTACTGCAGTAGCCACAGCTGCCCTGGGGCAGTCTAATAGAAGCAAGGCATCTGCCTCTCTGACCACCACCAATCATTCACTCATACACTATAGACCAGTGGCCTTCAACCTGTAGCTCAGGAGCTACCAGAAGCTTCTGTGGTCTGATGGGAACATCACGTCACAAATGAAAATCCAGTATTTGTTAAACCACTGACATTAAACATTTGAGTGCATTTCAGATTAGTGGGCACTGAGGCCAACATTTCACCACACTGAGCTGATGCCAGGGCTCCAACTCTGCTGCCACGCAAATATCACTCTCAAAGGTTAAACTCCAAGGCAAGAGCTTACATCAAGGCTTTTAGCTCTGCTGTCTTGTTTGAGATAACCAGGGAACCAGATCATGATCTAATGAAAAGAGTAAATGTCATACCTCTGCCATGTGCACTCAGCAGAGAAAATGCTTAAATGTCATCAATGAAAAAAGGAATAAGCTAAAATAAGTGAAAATAGGAATAATCTTGGTTTAGCTGCTTTACGTTTCCCTCTGTAATTTGTGAGTGTGACACAAACTTGAATAAAACCAAACAGTTAGGGAGTCCATAAAGTAAGTTCTTTAAAGTAATTTCTCCTCAAGTTGTAGACCATTGCATCATCTTAGGATGTCAGTCGCTTATGCATCCTTTACCATGTATTTCAATGAGGTAAACAATGCCCTCCTAGAGATTATACACATAAATAAAGCCAATTTTCTCCTGTCGGCTCTGTGCAGGGGGTTTCATGGAGGTCGGGTGCAGAAAGGATTGGGAATTGGACGACCCAGTCCGAACATCTGGCATTGGAACATCTATGTCAGATGAAGTCTTCTGTCTGGACGCAGATATATGGTACATTATTTGTGATTCTGCTCCTCTGCTGTCCAAACTGTCTCTGGCCATTTGTCCTGAACTGAGAATGACTTTCACAGACAAACTTCATTATTCATACTACAGTTTTAAAGCCCCATCCATTACACGCTGCACACTCTGGATGCAAACCATGTGATTGAATATAAACATATTGTAGTTTACTTCATGTGAGGACCAGCAGTGCTCTCGGTACTCTATACCATATTTTAGAAATACCAAAACTAACAATGAGATATTTAGGTGCACTGTTGGTGCACAGATCGTATGTTTGGACTTGAATGTTCCCCAGAGGAAAACTAGGAGTGTGGTGTGTAATTAGGGAAGTGTAATTACATTGACCCAATAGCAAATGTGTAAATGGTTTGTCACGCAACGCATGACGTTCTTCAGTCATGTATTAATGACACAGACATTAAAAACAGTTCACTTTCTTCTGTGCCAGTATATGTCAATCCAGTCTGGCACATTTTTGCTGTAAACTTGTATCTGTTTATTTGGATAGGGCAATGCTATGAATACACCAGATTGTAGAGACCTTGCAAACTCCATACAAAAAGGCCCAATAATAAGGCTCCACCAGAGCCTCAGTCAGTGGGGACTGTGTGCTCCCAAAGCTCAGAACATCTTTTGGGCAATCCAGCTTCTCCTTAAGGGGGGGTAAACTGTGGAACTCTCTCCCCACCATTCTAAAACTACAGACTAACATGACCATCTTCAGCAGAGAGCTCAAACATTGGTTAAGATCCAGACAGACTTGTTCTCACTGGTATATTGTATTGTAATTCTTTTAAATGTATCTTCTGTAATGGAAAAAGCCCCTGTGGACTAGTGTCAAAAATTAACACCTGTGCTATAACACTTACACCAATGCATCTGGTTCGTCCAATGTTATTGTTATATCCATATTAAATAAAATAAATAAATATATAAATAAGGTGGCATTGAACCCAGGACCTACTCGGTGTGGATCTAACCACCATGCCGCCAAAATAAAGCCAATCTATAACAAATTAATGTTGAGTCATATAAACGGTTTAAATATAACCATTCAAAACACAATCTCAGTGGACACAACCTCCACCACAGATGTACATCCACTCGACTCCTCTGGCCACGCACCTCTACTGCCCTCTTCTGGAAAGAGTTTGCAAACTACACCAGGAACATTATCTCAAACAATAGTGGAGGCCCCTACTGCAAGAGGCTGGTTTCACATAGATGTAGGGGAAGTCCAGGTTTATATTGAGTGACCAATTCGTAAAATAGTTTAGGTTAATATGAGCCAATGACAGCTGGCAACAAATGAAGTGCACTCTCGTGGATGTACAGTAATACCTCATGTCAAAGCTCTTCATCTCAACAAGAAACTAAAAGGTAATATTCATCAGTCTACAACAGTCATCTTTACCTTTGGCCCAGTTTTGGTTTAATTCAAACTGCACTTTATTTGTTGTGGGTAACCAACCAGAAAAGAATATCCAAACCTCTCTTCAGTAAGAAAACTGAAGATCAGGCCTGACACCAAGGTCCAAAGGTAAAGGGGAGAAGCATTATCTCATTATCACCTCAAATGAAGCCCGGCAAAAGTTGCTACTTAATAACTTGGAGAACTGCAGTTACATTTAGGGCTGGGCGATTTGGCAGTGCAGAGAAGCCCAGACAGAGAGAGGCCTGAAGAAATATTATCCTGGCCTTAATTTCATGGTTTTGACATTGCGCACATCTTCCATTTTTGAAAAGTTTGATTTATTTAATTAGTTAAATGTATAACGGAGCCATAGTTACATTAGGCAACTTAGATATATATTGCCGTACTGTATATGCAATGTACTGAGCACAACAGGTTTCTACATGGCCAAAACCAAGAACACCTCCACCGATGAAACCACATTCTCACTTATCTGATACAATTGACACCTTATAAGACAGTGTTTGTCCATGTTTGGTCAAGTGGCCAGCATAAATTGATTGTCAAGCTCTTCAAATTTGAGTCTTCTGGTTGAGCTGGACACTTTCTGAAGCAGGTCCTCTGTAAGACAAGGCAAGGCAAGTTTAACACAATTCATACACAAGGCAACTCAAAGTGCTGAACAAAACAAGATGGAGACAATCACACAAGTCAATAAAACCATAAATAATCACAGTACATTAAAAAGAGTGAAAACAAAATCTCTCAGTTGTATGCACAGCTAAACATAACTGTTTTTAACCTGGATTTGAACGTTGTCAAAGAAGAAGCCTGCCCCACATTTTCAGGAACATTGTGATTTTGAATCTAAAATCAAGTGTTTTTCAAAGTGATTTTCTGCTTGCCAATTTACATTACCATATGCCTTGCAAATTTTCTTTCCGGTGTCATGGTGATAACTTAATTACATGGGATTTTTTTCAGGAAAGAATAAATAGTTTGAAACTATGAATACATTATTATTACCACCAAAACAGACTAATGGTGAAAGGTTTCATAAGTTTAGAGATGACAGAATAAGAACAAACAAACAAAGAGCTTTACAACAGCGAATACACTGGCGCATCAAAGCCCTTAACCAACACCATCCCTTCACTCACTCGTTACATTCATACATATGGTGCATGTTTTAGTGGTAGGGGAAACCGGAGCACCCGGAGGAAACCTAGGCAGACGCAGGAAAAAATCAGCTACCATGCCGCCCCAATGTACGGACTGGGAGTTATATTCTAGTCAGCACATCTATATATCCTAATAGGACAGGTCTGTTTACATCAAACAGCTGTGATGATTTGGTCATGTTTACATAACAATAAACAAACATTGTACTAGAAAGTCTTCTTTGTGTGTTTTATTTATCATTACAGGGCTACAGGGCCTTGTGTGTCGGGTTCAAACATGGGGTTACAAACTGCTGCCATATAAACGTACAGTTGTTTTAGCGGAGAGCTATCATGATCCATGAAGCTGTCACACACCGTTGTGTCCAGCATTAGTAAGAGACCATTTTGTTTGTTTATCTTGGTTTGTATTTTTTACGTTTTAACTTTTACAAGTGGAATGTTTTGCTTTGTCTTTTATAGAGGGGCCACTGCCGTTTGTTTAGTGTTATCGATTAACTGACACACACGCTGGTGGTTAGAACTGAATTAAAACTCCCCTTTAAACGTGTCCTGGCCTAATATAATACATCCATGGTCCTGGCTTAATTTATATAGATGTGCATGTTTATATAGATGATTTTCACAACTCACCCTCAAATCCACTTTTTTTTCCTGATAAACTGTATAAATGAGTGTCCAATAGTGTTGTCTACATGTCCTTATCATTATTTTGACATTTTAGTGCAAACTTGTTCAAAATCCAATTTTTGTGTACAAAACCGTCTGTTCAGCGCCTTGGTGACATACGTCACGACATACGTCACCAAGTCTGCCGCTGTGGTATAAAAGCTGACCCCTCCCCTAGAGGCTCTCGTAGAGTGTTGGAGTTGGAGTTGGATCAGAGAGCGAGCGAGTTTTTTCACAGCGATTATCAGGTTTGCGTTTGCGAGAGAAGTCCTCCACCTCCCAAGACCGCACAGAAGCTGTGGAGCTGGCGTCGCTGTGTTCACTCTCCATCATTGACACGGCCAATGCTGATGTCAAGTGTCAATCACAGCTTAGACCCGCCCAACATTCACCCCCCCGCCTGTCCCCTTTGGTCCTCCAGGCTACGCCCATTTGGAGGGAGATTTGAACAGGAAATGTGAGTGACGTAAGCCTCGAGGAGCGGGGGTGAGTTGTTCATGAAGATTGGCGGCCATATTGGAAAACCCGGGCCTGCAACCAGCGGCAGTGCAGTGAAGCCAGAGACTTCTCTAGCGGTTCTTCCGCTGCCGTTACCTCCGAGCTCTTCCCTCTCTTTCTGAACATGGCGGAGTGCGGCCGCCTGGACACGAACGACTTTTAGAGCTTCTCTTTACATTCGATTACTCTATTATTGTGATCGGTAACTGACATGTGAGGCTACATTGTTCACCGTGTGTGGTGTTAGCTGTGCAGATATCTGTTAAAGGTAAATCCCTGTGTTATTGTCTCTTTCAGCAGAAAGCTTACATCAGGCTCTTCGCTCCTGTTATATTTGCGACATGTGATAATGCTACTCATGAAACGATGTTTACACGGTACTGAATAGTTAGATTGTAGGATGCACCATTGAAAAGCTGTGAATACCACGCCTTCACGTTGTTTATTTTTTCAACCCAACCTGGTGGTATAGGTGTTACCTCTGGGGTAGCATAGATTCTGTGATCAATGCTATGTATGTGTAATTCATCATAATATCAATGTGTTTTGTTTTGGACAGCGGTCACTAAACGCAGAATCTCTGAGCTTCAAGATGGCTGACTATCTGACCAGAGCATGCAGACTTCAACTGGCCACAGCCATGGAGAACCTGATCAGGACAGCAGTGCTTGAGGTCTCTCAAATCTTCGAGGATAGCTTACATGATCATCAAGTGGAGCTGTCGCTCAGAAGAGAAGAAATAGTTCATCTCAAAGTGAAGTTGCAGCGAGCTGAGCTCAGGCTCAGAGACATCACAGTGGAACATGACACAGACATGAGCACTGCTCAACTTTCTGAAAGCCCAAAAAACTCTGAAGCACCTCCTCTGGAAGAAACGACTGCCGCTGAATCTGTCTATGAAGGTAAACCTGCATGACATGTGGCTGTACTTTTTACTCTTTCAATCAGTAAGCAATTAATTGATGTAATTTAATGATTCATTTTTCACATGTTCATAATTTTAGTACCGGGTGACTGGTGTGTTCCACTGGATTCTGATTATATCAGCAAACAAGAAAATCCTTGCCCAAGTGTTCGACTTAAACAATGTTCTATACCTTTGTGGCCCATTCCCTTGAAGCATAAGGTAATTGATTACATATTTTATTTACACAAACATTGCAAGTGTTTGATATCTACACATATTTTTTGAAGGCTTTTCTGAATATTCCGCAACAAAGACTCAGACGGCGAGACCATGGGGACAAAATAGGTTTGTGCTTAGTTATCTTTTGATAAATTTGTATACACTAATGTCAAATATATTTAAAATTGATGAATAATGTCAAAGTAATAACATTTTGATGCAGTGTCATTGGTTTGTGCTATCCCTCTTTTCCCAAAGTAGTGATGTAAACTCCCACCAAGTCTCAAGGACAATGGTGTGTATTTGGTATTCATAACAAATTCCTTCTTCCGTGTTTTGTCTTCCCTTTTCTAATCCTTCGCTTCCGTTAAAGTCAATCTTGTGTAAGATTCTTGGGTAAGGAATGTTTTTTTTATTGTTTTTTTTACTTTAAATTTCTTCATATAGTTCTCTGGGATGGAGCCCATCAGAATGAGTATAGGGTTTGTTGTGCAGAATAAGATTTGTTTTGGCTGAAGGGTAGCTCTCAAATGTATAATTGTGATGGTAGACACATTGCACATCTTTTGCAGAAATGTCCGTTTTAAAATGTTTTTGGTGCGGAGAGGAACTGTATGTCTTGAACCTGGTTTATTATGTAAACACAGACCTTAACGGGCAAACGCATGCAGTGTGATCTCAGCATTAAACATTTTTTTTACTATACCAAACCCGGGCTAACTTGGGCAGGAGAAGTTTCTTTACCTTCAGTCTGGGACACAGCGGCTTGAATATTCAAACATAAGTTTCTATTGTGTTGTCGATTGAGCGTAACAAAGGTTCCAAACAGACAAGCTGCCCATATAGGGAGTGCTTCAGTGGGACAAATTGACCAAGGAAACTAATAGTTTTGGAGAAGGACAGATTTGGTAGCAACAATGATGTGCTCAGATGTTAAATTAAATAAGATAAGATTGTGCAAAAGAAAAAATTGCAAACATGTTAAATGCAGGATATATTTTGTACAACAAAAAGTGGCAATCAAGAAACGGTGTCAACAGTAGTGCAGGTTTTTCAGTCCTAATGCAAGAGACTTAAAGTGACTAATTGTACAGTCTGACAGCGGTGGGGATAAAGGCTCTGCGGTTGCGCTCCTTCTTGCACTGAGGGTGCCTCAGTGCAGTACTAGCACCAGACTAGCCCAGAGCCCTGAGGGGCCCCAGTACTGCAGACTACCACCTCAGACTCACAGCTGCGCAGCCGCACGTACTGTGGTCGGTCCGAGAGGTAGTTGATGGTCCATGCAGTGAGGCTACTGTCCACTCCCGCGTCCTCCATCTTCCCCCGCAGCAGTGCTGGTCTGATGGTGTTGAAATCGCTGGAGAAGTCAAAAAACATGACCCTCACAGCGCTCCCGGCGGCCTCCAGGTGGGAGAGCGTCCGCTGCAGGAAGTGGATGGCGGCGTCCTCAACTCCGATGTTAGGCCTCTAGGCGAACTGCAGCGGGTCCAGGGTGGGGCTGACCACAGAGCGGAGATGGGTGAGGATGAGCCGCTCCATGGTCTTCATCAGGTGGGAGGTCAGTGTGACTGGTCTGTAGTGAGCCGGTTCCTTGGCGTGCGCAATTTTAGGAACCGGGATCACACAGGAGGTCTTCCACAGGACAGGGACATTCTCCAGGCTGAGGCTCAGGCTGTAGATGTAGCTGTAATCTTGTATAGCCCTAAATGACAACTCAGTTATCTCAGAGGACTTAACAAAATGCTTGAAATCGCCAATACAGATCAGAGAATCAAACGGTTTAAACACAAAAAATCTAGAACACATAGGTATTGGATCATAGGGGGAGTTGACCAATGTCCATGAATGTTGATAAATGTCCATAAATGTTGTAGAATGTAGAGTGTCCCTGATCATCGCCACAGTCCTTCTTGTTAGACAACTGTTTAACAGACCCTCCTGCGTCTGCAAGGAAAAACTCTAAAACCCAGAAGGAGAAAAGTGAGAAACATCAGGGAGCTCGATATTGAGAGAGGGATTCGCTCCACACGGACGGGCTATAGATCCAGGACCTAAGCGACAGAACAAGGACCAAGTCACGCAGCGGTTGTAGAACATGGACAGGTGCAGTGCAGGACTGAAGCAACTCCCAGGCGTGTCGGGCAGGGCAGTCCGCCGGTGTTGATGGAGGAGGCCAGGTTCAGGGGTCCCATCATTGTGCCGTGAAACAGACAATGGGACAACGAGTGAGTAGCAATGAACATACTGTGGTCAAAACCCTAACAATACAGACAAGTGGGAGCTATTAGAGGATAGTGCTCAACTTCAACTGTAAACTGACTCCATATGCAGCTTGACTGACGGTCTAAGATTAGTAGTTGTCCCTACCTAACCATATGCTAAATTAAAAAGGACTGTTTTAAGTTGGCCTTGAATGTAGAGACTGTGTCTGCTTCCTAAACGTGGATGGGGTGCTGATGCTCAGTTTGTATGACACTCGCATGTCTTGGAGGTAGGAAGGAGTCATGCCATTTATGCTTTATATATTGAACACAGGAAGCCAGTCGAGTGATTTTTAACACAGGAGATATGTGCTCCCTCCTTGCTGCTGTTTTTTTGTGTGTGCTGAAAGCTCTTTATTGAGGATATAGGGCACGCTGCAAGCAAAGCGTTGCAGTAGTCAAGCCTTGAAGTGACAAAAGCGTGGATTAGTTTTTACCGCGTCACTTTTAGGAAGGATATTCCTGATTTTAGCGAAGTTGAGAGGGTGGAAATTCGCTGTTTATTTGCTTGCTTTATTTATCTATGGTTTTGAATATGTGCAAACCATGACTATGCGTCATTAAAACTCCCTCTTATCAGCAAGTTTTTGTCTAAGTAAAGTTCCAAAAAAATATGAACTGATTACTAAATGGACAGCTGAGTGGGTAGCACTCTTGTTTCTCAGCAAGTAGGCTCCTGGGTTTGAATCCTGGTCGGAACAGGGGCTTTCTCAGTGGAGTTTGCATGTTTTCCCTTTGTCTGCGTAGGTTTCCTCCGGGTGCTCCGGTTTCCCCTTTCACAAAAAAATATGCACAATAGCTATGAATGTAAACAAGTGAGTGAATGGATGGTGTTGACTGGCACTTTGATGCGCCAGTGTGTTTGGCGTCTTGCTTCTGGAAATAATGGAGATAAAAGTGCTTTGGGTGACCTTGGTCTGTAAAAAATGTGCTATATAAATAAAGATTACTTACTCGCCTGCTAAATTAGTTTACTGTTTCAATAATTGAATATTAATTATGCTAATTGTTACAACTATAATTTACTAAAATCAATGTGTGCAGATTAAGAAATAAACTTTTTCAATCTCACTAGAATCGGTTACCTTTATTCATTCCTGAGATGAAATTATTTGTGTTACAGGAATTCAGCCACCAATCAAAAGAAAGCCTGGCCGACCAAGAGTTCGACCATTAGACGATCCACGTAAAGACGTACGGCTGACCATCAAGCAAGAACCAAGCACCAAAAGAAAGCCTGGCCGACCAAGAGTTCGACCATTAGACAATCTACGTAAAGACGTACGGCTGACCATCAAGCAAGAACCAAGCACCAAAAGGAAGACCGGCCGACCGAAAGCCAGTCCACGAGGCCGCCTATATAAAGATGTACTCAAGAATATAAAACAAGAACCCTCTGACTCTGACATGGAAGCTCCCACACAAACGATAAGTCCATCAGGCCAGAAGTATCGGTGCCGGTTCTGTCCAAAGGTCTTCGACACACAGTTTGGCCTCAGCGTTCACCATCGTTCACACAAGAAATGCACCGGTTGCAAAAGGATCTTTCCTTTTCCTAGTGCTCTTCGGCAACATAAGACTCATTGTAAATATTATAAAAGAAATGTGAAATTCACCAGTCTACTGGCTGAAAAAAGATCCTCACGCATCCAACAGAAGACTTCAGTGGAAAATCCACCTGGCAAAAAGATTCGTAGAGGATTCATTTGTAAAAAATGCTTGAGACGGTTCCGTTCACGCTCGATATTTATGAAGCATTCTTGCAATTTTGTTTGTAATATTTGTTCAAAAAGATTTAGCTGCAAAACAAATCTAAATGTGCATAAGGGAAAAGTGCACAAGAATCTCACAGAAAACATTTTAGAAGCAGCTTGGACAAAACCCTTGGGGTACAGCGAGGAAAGCGGAGAAAATAAATTCATTTCAAGAGAAAAGGAAGAGAATCTTAGAACTGGTGCATTCAACAGGACCTGTAAACAATGTCTGAGAACGTGCACTTCACGTTCAGCACTTCTGACGCACGCTTGCGAGTTTCCATGTCCAATTTGCTCCAAAACCTTCTCCTGCAGATCGAATCTAAATATACATAAAGGAAAGGTACATAAGAACCGTGCAAATGACGAAGTGGAGGCATCTTGGACCAAACCTTTGGACGAGGACGAGCAAAGTCCTGAAAGTAGATCCAGTCCAAGGGATAAGGGAAAGCATCGTAAAGGTGAAAATACCTGTAAACAATGTCAGAGAAAGTGTGTCTCACGTACAGAACTGTTGACGCACACTTGCCTTGAGTTCATCTGCCCGATTTGCTCCAAAAAGTTTTCCTGCAGATTGAGTCTGAATATACATGTAGGAAAAATTCATAAGAAACGCACACAAAAAAATCCCACTGACAACTTATTGGAAGCATCTTGGGCAAAACCATTGGATGAGAGCGAGCAAAGTCCTGAAAACGAATCCGGCCAAAATGAAAAGGGGATGAATCTGAGAAAAGGTGGAAGTGCAAAAACTGTTTGGACCTGTAAAAAATGTCTAAGAAATTGCACTTCACGTTCGGTATTTTTGACACACACTTGCCTCGAGTTCTCCTGTCCAATTTGCTCCAAAAGCTTTTCCTGCAAAGCAAATTTAAACATACATAAAGGAAAGATTCACAAAACACGAGGTAAAAAGCACAAGAAGCGCGTGGATTGCAAAGTGGAAGAATCTTGGACAAAACCTTTGGATGAGAGCAAGACAAAGGAATCCAAACCAAAAGTAAAGAATCCGCATATAAAAGCATGTGACTTAGGTTTTAAATGTTTATTCTGTAAGCAGGTCTTGGCTTCAAAACAGAGCGCTCTGGATCATGTATACTCGCACACCGGGGAAAAGCCTTACAAGTGTGATTATTGTCCGTCGGCTTTCAGTTACAGATCTCTCCTGAGCCTCCACAGGTCGTCGGCCCACGGCATGCAAATAAGGGGTTCACGCAAATGTGTATGTTCAAGGACATTTTTGTATAGGAAGAGTTTTGAGCTCCACGTGTCGCGATGCTCAGTGGCTATTGCGCACACGAAAGAGGAACACGACTAGATTGACCGTGCTTGATACCGGCCGATACCAATGATAGATGTTGTAGTTTCACTCATTTCTTGGCCAAATTTGTCTTTTAGATCAAAAGGTTGATTAAAATGTATTTGTTAATTGTTCCACAAAATAAATACATGTATACAAAATATGTTTGGGACTTTTATGCTAACTTTGAGCAACTATGATAAAGTATGTGATGATACCCATGTGGGGCTACTTTACTATTTGTTTATTCTATTGAACATTCACTGGAAATAACTTGGTGACCTTGATTTAAACAATAAAGTTAGCAAGAAGCAATAGGAATAAAAACTATCCAATGACACATCACCTTTTCAAGAATATAAACAATAACCCAATATTTAATTGACCCAGAAATTCCAGAACCACATTTTATTGACAGAACTTTAGTCTTCTTTAACATCCTGTTGAATGCAGAAACATGCTGTATTTGGTGTTAGTAAATGTTTAAAGGAAACTCTCATTGATTTTTAACCATAATAAACCAACCATTTTATTCTCAAATAAATGTATATTTTTTCACAATGGTATTTTTGGATGAATTGGCCCATGCTTCTGTATACAATGTCTTATTAAAAGAACCTTAGACCTGAAAGAAGCTTTGCTTAACCACAAAGGATGTTGTATGCTGCAAATATTGCGTCATTATGTTAACTTTTCTTAAAATTATTAAATCAGAATACGTCTTTCATTTAACTTACAATATAAACTTTGAACCTGCCTCTAGATGTTTTGTTGTGTTCAAAATAAAATATTCAGCAACAATAAGTTCTTTCACATTGGAAAATACAGATTTGACTTTTATTGCAATGCTTTTTCTTGGCCACCAGGGGGCGGTTTCATACCATGTACGAACTGCATACCGAGATCAAGCTTTTTGTGTATTATTTACGATTAATATCAGATGATAATTAGGTGATACATAGTTCTCCCACATAATGAATTAACCACAGCGGGGAGATAAATATATCTAATAAAATAGGAACAACCATGGGTGTGGGCACCAAGTGCACTAAATTATATTATAAAAGGTCAATGTTTGATGGTATTGAGTCAGACTGAGCAGAGCAGAGAGAGCAGTCATAAGCATAGTTAAAGTACAGTAGGGTCAGATGGACTCAGATTTGAGCCTATAAACTAAGTCTGCAGGCCTTTTCAGTTTATATGTTTAGTCTAATCTCCTTTATACCGTAAGCAGCTTTTTCTGAGAAAGGACAAGTGAACAGTTGCGCAGGCTGCAAGGCCAGTGTTGTGTGTACAGAATAAAAGCTAAACAATCAGTATTTTATCGTTTTCACATTGACCTGCATTGTTGGAGGGAGTATTTTTCAAATGTGTTTCGTAGCCAACATATTTATAGCCGTCCAAAATCAATGTTGTAACATATTCCATTTAGTGCTGTTTTCTGAATACTGGTAAACATTCACATCCATTGGCACAATAATATATCTCCAATGTGCAGGATTATATTTTAATACATTTTTGTTTTTTAAATATAGCAAATCAATCCATAACAAATAATGTTTGTCTCATTGTTGGACTTTAGTTTTTTCCTAAACTATCATTATCAATACCTCCCACCAACTGCACAAGACGAGTTCTTTCAGTGGAAGACTGAGACATCCTCTGTGCAAGACATCCCCACCGCTGTCAGACAGTACGATAAGTCACTTTGATGACCTGCTCCAGGACTGTAACAACACGCACTTCTATAGTCACTTTTTTTATTTTTATGGTACATAATATATTTTGCACAAATAGACTGTATTTTACCATGTTTAATAAATAAAAAAAGTGTATCTTCTCTTATCTTACCTTATTGAACACTGTTTTCTCTAAAGCACCAATAATATGCCTTAAAAGAAGTTGGAATACGTATTTAGGATACTCATTTAACAAACTCTGTTTTTTTTTCTTATTTGGTTAGTTGTTCTTTGCCGATGCAGGAGGGTCTAAGGACAGTGGTGATGATCCAGGACATTTAAGGACATTCATGAACATTTATTAACATTTATGGACATTTGTCATCTGCCCCTTATGGACCAATGCCTCCTATGTGTTTGTTATTATTGCAACTTTTTAAGGTCCCCCGAGACCACTGGTGTTGTGTGTTAGGGCTGTACAAAAAAATAAATAATTGATCTAGTGTCATATAAGAAAAAAAGAAAAAAGTTTGGACACCCCAGAAATCCAAACTTGCACTGCCCTCATCCTTCAGATGGTGAGTGAACCTCCTCCATTATTGAAGTCACCACAAGGCATTTCCCGGTGTCTGTGCACGGGCTCAGACAAGTGCACGTTGCCATGGAGACAGAGTAGTGGGGGTTGCAGGGAATCTACGCAGCACGAGCATCGGGGACGGACCAGGGACTGTCCCGAGCAGCCTCTGCATGAGTCTGCATCATGGGCTGTGGTAGTAGAAGAAAAAATGATCCCCTCCACCACCAGTCTATGATCACGGCAGGCTCAATTTCACATGACAACTTATGAGAAAGAAAATATAAGATAAGATAAGTTTATACTTTTTACTTCTTTATTATGCTTAAGTTAGAGATTTTATTTTATAGATTCAAATGAAGAGATCCTATTTATTGTTCACTGCTTGTGTTCCCCACTGTGGGACAAATAAGGGATCTCTTAATCTTGATAGATAAACCTTTATTTTTCCCTGAGTGGGGAAATTTCAATGTCATATTGCACACATTACAGCAAATTAGAAGCACACATATTGTTTCAAGCTTAAAAATAGGAATCAATTAGGAATTTACAGCAATTACATATTATACATGATAGAAACATACATTTAAAAGTTTTCTTTTCTCACTCCTGTCAGAGCTCAAAAGGAATGAGAAGAAGTCAAACTAATCTATGATTTCAGATAATCGATAATAGAATACAAATACAACAGTAACTGCACTTGGGTCAAGTAACTTGTACACTGTAGTCAGCAGCACATTACAGATGGTTGATATTGTATTGCGACTGTTACTGGCTTTACAGGTCTCCAAACTTCATGGATGAACGAGTAGAGCTGACTTGGTGTGCTCCCAAGAGACATCACTCAAAGTCACTCAGCATGAACTTGGCATTCACACATTTCCATGGTGGTCCAGACAGAGGATATTCATTGGGCCCTCAGGTTAAATGTTAAATTAGTGTGAATCTAGAGCATAGTACCACTGACACATGTCCATTATAAGGTCATAGCAAATTGATTATCATTGCTATCTTCACAAAGATAGCATGTTTTGATTTTCAATGGTATAATTCGGTCCTGATTTAGATTCGTGTTCACAGCCCAGAGACTCGCCCATCTGCCACTGACAGTTGAGGCATGGCACCTGCTGACATGATACACTTGAGTAATCGCTAACCTTTGTCTATGCAAGACACGTAGGAAAATAACACTGAGAGTGGATTTTAAAAATGGATTTTACTGAAGGCGGTGTATGAAATCTATGAATCCCTAATATTAAGCATACTATATTATAAGTCTTATAAATGCTATAAGTTCTTGTTCATTTGGAGGGCAGGTTCTAATAAATCTCATGAGAAAGATTTTTTTTTTTTTTTTTTGAGATGTGTTGAAATACAAGTTGATTTAAACATAGATTTTTGCACACCATATATAAAGATATTATTACAGTTGACCCAAATTTTGTCAACTGAATTTCCCAATTCAAGCAGATGGTTCAACTGAGAAGATACAAATACTATGAGCAGTGCTTTGTGGTGAAGGTAGGGGGTATTTGCAGGGGTAGATCTGGTTTGTGGTGCATGGAGCATTGCCCATAACTGTTAGAGGAGGGAGGACTGTGCCACTAGTTTCAGAGTGTGTTTAAAGCCTGGTGGCAGACAGCCAGATCCAGAGATGGCACCAACTGTCCCTGGCATCTCCTCCGGCTCGGCTGCGTGCAAACTGAACGTGTCATAGTGCAAGTCTAGGCTTCTGATCCGGTCGAGAAAATGTAGAAACAATTCCTTTCGCTCATAGGGAACCTTTCAGCTCTCAATATAAGATTAATACATTAAATGAAAGTATAATAACATATATCTCTTTCTTTAATTGGATCCTCTGTTAAAAAGCTGCTCACTCTATTCCAGGGGTGTCCAAACAATTTAGTAAGAGGGCCACATTAGTGATCCAGACTTGTCCAGGGGCCAATAATAACGGCTTATTAACCGAGCGCGAGGTCTGTATGGAGAAATATCAGACCGCGGCCTTAATGTACAGACCGGGCGGCACGGTGGCTGAGTGGATAGCACTCTCGCCTCTCAGCAAGAAGGTCCTGGGTTCGAATCCCGGTTGGACCAGGGCCTTTCTGAGTGGAGTTTGCATGTTCTCCCCGTGTCTGCGTAGGTTTCCTCCGGGTCCTCCGGTTTCCCCTACCACTAAAAATATGTACAATAGGTCTGGCATGTGCCTCCTGTACTGGCACCCCCACTCCCAAAAATAACAATTGTAAACCGCTTTGAGACTCCGATGTGCAGTGAAAGGCGGTATATAAATAAATAAAGATTACTTACTTACTTACTTACCGAGCCGTGGCGAGGTCTGTGCAAAAAGACCAAGGTCTGATTTTTCTCTGTACAGACCGAGCAAGCAGGTTAATAAATGTTTTATTATATGACTCTCGTCTGTGTCTTTACCAATGCTTTTGAGATATTTGTGAAGTATGTTCATGTCCGACTTGGTTTTGTGCGATACGCGCTGCGGACAGATTGTCATGGTAACGGTCCGAGGAAAGATATCAAATGTGATACACTGTTTGGACCAATTGTCATGGTAACGGTCCGAGATGGGAAAATATCAGACCGGTAATCAGCCAATCAGAGCGCGCATACGGTCCAAGTCATATAATAATATGGAATAAGCCCTTACCCTGTTTTGACTGGATTCAGGCTGTTTCGATATTAATGTCAGTATATACAAAATGCTAATGTCCAAGTCTTTTTCTGTCTATTGACTAAAAAAGAAGTACCTTTCCTCAAACATGTTTTGGAGAGCATAGAGGAGTAAAGCTTTTTATATGTCCTGTAAGTGTGCATGTGTGCATGTTTGAGTGTGCGCGTGTATTATGACCGTGATATAAGGATTACTTATTAAGATTCTTGCCAGATCATAATAGTATGTTGGGCCTGCTTTATCCCCAAGCCTCAGATTGTATAAGCCTGATATAGAATGTATTATTTCATGACAAAATACCTTGAAAAAAGGGATTTTCATGGTGAGTGGTCTTGCCTTTCCACAGATCTGTACAGAAACGTTAAATCAATTACATCTTGCTGGGGAAAAAAACAGGTGGCAGCCCCTCCAATGTACCGGACTACCTCCTTCCCACCATTGAGTAAGTCCTCACCAGCACCTCCAGCTTTGCTTCCTCCCATCTCTTGTTGGCTCCCACATTTAATCACCTGCACTCAATGGTCAGACAGATCATTGCTGTGTGACTATTGGCCGCAGTGAAGGAGAAGGCGGTACCAGCTTCGGTGCATCACAAACGCTAGCAGCAGTATAGGGCTCTCCCTCTCTCTCTCTTACTCCCTCACTCACTCACTCCCTCCATCCCCCCATTCTCTCTCTCTCTCCACTCTCTGCCTCTGGATCTCCCTCTCAGACATACGCCAGAGACTGCAGCAGTGAGCGGGACCATCAGCATCTCCCCCTTTTCCTTCCTCGCAGTGCAAAATTACGGAAACGCACCAGAAGACAGTGGCGTTATCTTTCAGGGATTCGTACAGGTATGAGTGACGGCTATTGAGGACTGTGTCTATCATGTGTGCATGGGAATCTGACAGCAGCACTGCAGGAATGGAAAATGTGCCTCCACCTCCTCCTTTCACCTATTCTAATCAATCCCTGTAGAGAGAGACAATTTTCTTTTAGACAGAATTGTATTGTTTGGACAATGTTGTGTTGTTTTGTGTGCAAAATCCCAAAATCTATTTTAAGCAGTTGCAGAATGGACATGATGTGGTCTTCTACATGACGTGTTTTCCTCTCCTCTCTCTCATCACAGACTTGTACAATTCTTTGCAGGTCTCAATTGGTGTGGACTCCTGAATACTCTCATCCCTCCAAAGGGGCCAGCTCCATCCGTCCTGACTGGTCCCAAACCCCCCCCCTCCAAAAAAAGGTTTTTCTAGGATGCCCTGCTCTGCGCCCCTTTGCTGAGGAGGCGTCAGCGGGCAGCAGCATGGACACTGACTTGGCCAAAAGCACCACCATCCCCTCTTCCACCGCTCTACCACATCCACAACGCTGCCCTGCCAAACCGGGCAACCCAACCGGCCCCTCTGATGGGCGAAGACACTGACGCCAGCGAGACATTGAACCACCAGGGCTTCCTCCCAGACCACAACTATGTGACTGACGGTGAGTGTATGAATACAACAGTAGCAGGACAAGCCTCACATGAGTTTGCCTGTGAATGCGTGTCTGGGAGGCAAAGCCAGCTCAGCACAGCTTTCCAGTCTTATTGCCAGTAAGCAGCTTGTCAAATAGGCCTGAGCTGCACTCCAAACAAGTGCGATAACAACAGGGAGGCTATTGTTGTGTTATTATTATTAGAATGGACTATAATCTGTAAACAGTACTTGTAGGATTTCACAAACTATAGTCTTGTGTTATGCAACGTTTCTGGTTGTATAACAAATTGTGATTGATCTGCCAGATATTGAATTTAGAATGTTTATATAATGAGCCTTTTAGAAGCACGTTTTTTCACCAATGCATATTTTAATGAAATTCTGATTCAGACCATAGATCATAAGAACAAAATTAGGGTTACACCAGTCTTTTTTATGATAGTCATCTTGATATTTTGCAATTATGAACTATTACCACAGTCCCAAGTGCCTATAGGGAAAAATTGTATTATCCTGAAAATACAGAGCAATTTTGAGAAAAAAAGATATATGATTGCTTTGTTACATCAACTGAAAGGCTTTAAAAAAAAAAAACAATAAGCCGATATTCAATTTCAGTATTGTATCAATGGATCCCTAAAAATACACACACATTATAGCATAAAAATATCATACTAGACATGCTCCTCAATTTTCAGTAATATGCTTTTGGTCTTCATACTCAATATTCCAGCCTTCACTTCATTCATTTATTTGAAAGCCTCAGTAAACAGAGTTAGCGCAAAAATAATGTTGACTGGTCCACTTTTCATCAATTCAAATTATTTTTGTATAGCCTCAAATCACAACAGCCGCCATCTCGAGAACTTTACAACGCTGTCAATTTGCCAATATTAGATCAAAGAGATTAGATCAAACAGTTCGAACACAGGAAATTCAATAATAACAAACGCATATTACATTACTTAGTTACTTACACAGGAGCCATTGGTCCATATAGGGAGCAGGATGACCAAAGTCTGTAAATGTGAATAATTGTGCATAAATGACATAGATCGTTACTGTCCTTAGACCCTCCTGCATCAGCAAGGAACGACTCAAAAACAAACAAACACTAGTTAGTCACAGTCACACTACTAATAAATGAAAGCCCATCTCTCTACTGTAGTTATGGTGTGGTATGGTATGGTATGATTTTTATTCTTACAGGGACAGCGTACAATAAACATTAGCCAAAAGTAGAGAAGCAGTGTATCAGGTTGTAGCAGCAGTGCTATTTTACATCTGTAGTCGCTGAGCCTGTAGTAAAACTGTAAAACAAAAGTAGATACATGACCATACACGAGTAACTGGTGGGATAAGTGTGTTACGGCAGCCTCTTCCTAATCTCAATTACAGCGCTAATCTCACCTGTGCTCGAGCTTCGTATGGTGTGGCTGTCTGTTTGCCCTCAATCCCTTTTGCTTGTGTCACCTCATTGTTCACTACACCTCTCAGACCGGAACAGCGGATTATCATCTGGGGGTCGTGAATGTGTTACAAGCTGATTTGCGATCCAATCTCACCCCCAGAAAGAGAATTATGCTTCCTTGCCTTGCCTTGCGTCTGGCTCTGCAATATAATATCCCAGACCTAGGCGCACATGTTCTCAATGACACGTGCTGCTACTGCTTCATTGCAAAATATTATCAAATATGAGGTGATAGTTGCTTGAATCGAGTGGTTTTTATCTTAATCTGACAACATTCTGAAATCTTAAAACAAGATTTGCCAATGGGACTTTTTTCAAGAACTGTTGCTTTATTTTCTCATTCCAAGGGAGACATTTCTTAAAACAAGGCCATAGTCAAATCTTGTTTTAAGTCAGTTAAAATGTGCTTAAATTAAGATACATTTTACCAAATGTTAGCTATTTTGTATCACTTTTTGCAGTGTACTGGTTGCATGTTTGGTGTTCATTCAACAAATTGCACTGCCTGGTTTTGAGTACTTTTCATCATACATTTCCATTTTTTGTCCATTTTCAAAAATCTATTACCAATTGTCCCTGACCATTGGAGCAGCTCACTTTTCAAGCTTAGCCATTGCGATTGACAGCTGGTCAACACCCACCAATAATAGCTGTATTAATTATTCCTAGGCACAACCCAGGCCTGAGCAAATTACTCTGCATGAATTGCTGATGAGCCTCTATACAATGCCACCGGGATACATAAATACATTTTCCTTAGCTCTTTGTTGACGACTACAAAATAATGTATGCTATAATGAAAATTAAAAAAAAATCCATAACCCGAGGCATTGGTTACAGGTCCCACGATAAAAACCTGTTCCTTAATCCAAACCCATTCTCAATAGCTCACCCCATCCCCCTGCTCCACCTCTCCTCTCAGTGTCTCCGTCCAACTCATCCCCCCACCTTTCCACTCAAATGCAACACACAGCATTGGCCAGTGATGAAGAGGTGCGCCTGCCAAACAATTACCCAACAAGGCTACAAAGGCTGATCCAGAGCACTCTACTGAGCCCTCAAAAGCATGAACTAAAGGGTGCTTAAAAAAAGGATGCAGGGCGTGTATTTGTCTGCTAAGAAGTTCTGTTTTGCGTGTCTTGTCTGGCGTTTTGTCAAGTTTTACGTTTCATTTTGTGTTAGTGGTCAATGTTTTTTGTCTGTGTGTGTGTGTGTGTGTTGTATCTGTCTGCTCTGCCCCATGGGGATTCCTCTGCCCTTTAACTCAGAGATAGACGCTTAACCTCCCTTCATCCTAAAAGACTCATCCCTCCATTCAACCCCCTCTCCTCTGGTTGACCTCGCTGTCTTTGCCCCGTGCCTCAACTTTTATAGACGGTTGGACTGATCATAAATGTTGACAATTTAATTTGTTATATTTAATAGGTTGCCTCCAAGATTCCACTAAGCCTATAGTTTAAAATTGTGGTGGTGGGCAGCTGAAAATCTTTCCTGGTAACTATGGTAACTGTCAAAGTAAGACTTCTAGTTTCAGATAACGGCTGATACATCTGTAGTATTTGCCGGGCCAATCCACAGGAAATAAAAACTGACACAAAGTTTGACATCTGTGTCAGCACATATCAACTATGGTCTTATTATTTCCTTATAAAGTTGTCTAGAAGTGGTAATACCGTTACCACTTCAAACAAACAAGGACTTCCATGACAATTAAATGCCAGGTTTTTGAAGAGCTATCAAATAATGATCTGTGAAGACAATTAAATATTTTATTTTTCAATTTTTCTTTAAAAAATTCCTTTCTATAGCGTTGTATTGGCCCCTACCCTCTGACATGAACGCTAAGTATAAGAACATAACATGTAATAATAATGTATCTGCTCTTTTAAACTCTGTTGCACTGAGGTTTCCTTTAAAATTAAAGTGCACTGTAAATAAAATGTAATACTATTAATATTTGAGGCGGCAGTAGCTCAGAAGGTCGTGGGTTCAAGCCCCGCTCAAGACTTTCACCATCGACTCCCACTGACTACTGTCGTTGTGTCCTTGGCAAGACACTTAACCTCTGGGAACACCAGCCACAGTGGGGTGTCTGCGGCTGTAAAGTGCCAAACTGCCGTTGTGTCCTTAGGCAAGACACTTCACCCCCATTGCCTAGAATGAGTCTGGTGTGTGTGTGAATGGTTGGTGGTGGTCAGAGGGGCCGATGGCACATACTGGTTGCCTCGCTTCTGTCAGTGTGCCCCAGGGCAGCTGTGGCTACATTAGTAGTTTATCACCACCGTGTATGGAGTGAATGAATAATGACACATGTGAAGCGTCTTTGAGTGTCCAAAAAAGCGCTATATAAAACCGATGCATTTTTTTTTTTTTATTGTTACTTAAACCCACTTATCATAAATAACATTCATATTCTTATTTCAGGCAGCACTGTACACTTGTTGTTGTCTGCTCCATGTCTCTATCTCCAGAATGTCTTACAATCACCGCGGCTTAAATTGACAATCTCTTTACGCCAATCAATACATCATCATCCTCGCTCCTCTTGCTTCGTGCTCATGGCCAGATGTGGTGATGTCATAACTCACTCCCGACCCCCAGTCCTATGCTCCCTGCCTGACCTCCTCTCCTCTCTCCCTTTCTGTTGGCTCCCTCCCTACACCTTGTTCCTTTTGCAGGGCTGCTCCTGGCTAAAGCCTGAAGAGCTCCGCCCATCCCGTCACCCCTCTCCACCTTGGAGTCCTCCCCCAGGATGTTGAGCCCCATCCAGGTGCTGTGCTCCGACATCACTACCCTTTCTCTGGAGCCCGAGCAGTTTGCCTCTTACACTGAAGGTGTGTGCTCTCCTCTTTTATCCATTCACCCACCGCTGGGACGTCATACAGGCTGCGTCTGTTGTGTGAGTCAGGTGGATTTATTGGTGTGAGCTTTAATAGCTTTAATACGTCACTCTGTCTCTTGTCGTTTCTATTTTTGTGGCATCCTGTTGTGTTTCCATTTGAAGATCTTAAGTCAGTTTCAATACAAGAAAAAGCGTCAGCCAGACGAGTCAACCCAATTCATGATCCGAGTACAAAATCACAACCAGGTGTTTAAAGGAGACCTCACCATCTACATATATTTACCGATAACTTCAAATATGATTTTAAAAATTCTCGAGGTTAGCATTCTAGTTTTTCAGTAAGAAGTGTCCCATACCTCTAAAAGTATGTACAATAGGTAAAATCCTTCACTTGCAGTACTCCTGACCAAGTTGAGCATCCACATCTTGAAATTGTAGGAAGGGTCAAAATGCAGAGCTTCTTCCTTACGTCTTCCTTAAAAATGGTTTTGTGTATTGGTCTATGGTGTAATAATTATGGAATAGTACGAGTAGTAAGAGCTAAAAAGTCAAAAAAATTAATCAAAATTATGATACAGGGTTTTCATTACACATCAAGCATAAGGTCCTGAGCTTGATTTGATCTCTCTGTGTAGAGTTTGCATGTTCTCCCTGTGTTTGTGCGTTTCCTCCGGGCGTGAAACATACTGCTTAG